CCGGCCCCTTCCTGCCCCGGCTTCCTGCCTCGGTCCTGGAGGTGCCGTGGGGTAGAGGGACCAACTGAAACCGAAACACTTTGTACAGGTAAATCGAGGCCTGAGATCATAGAGAACGTGTGTTGCCAGAAAAAATGCGGTCCGTAGCGTAGTTTCGGAAGGGAGGTGTCTCTGTGCGTCCCTGTCCATGAGAGCCTCCTCTCCTGGCAGAAACTCTTGAGCTTGTTGGACAGTTAAGGAGGGAAAATGAAGTTCCTCAACATTTTGTGACAACAGGTAGAGGAGACAGCTAAGGAGGTCTCACTAGTGGCAGGGCTACCATGTTACTTACATCCAGGGAGTCCAGTTGGGCTAAAGTAGGAAAAAAAGAAACTTCATTAATTAATGGAAGTATTTATTGGTTACAGCTGCAACAGGAGGTGGCATTTACAGCTTAGCTGAAGCTTTGTTCCTGCAAAGCCTTTGAGGCTCATGTCATTCTACAGCAGTCGTTAGACATTGGTGGGATTATTGACCACACATAAATTAAAAGTCACTAAATCTTTGTAGGGCTGGGGTTGTGTGAAAGACTCAAAGTTCTGGTAAATTATAGTGATGGTCTCTGGAGTTGGGCCTGGCAAGACATGTTTGAAAGATGAGAAGGAGTCTGCAGGCAGCTGCGAGTGGTGCAGAGGAAATGCAGTTAACCACGCGGAACTAACTAGGGTACTTCTGTGGTGAAAAGTGCCTGGGGGACTTGGAAATACCCGTTCATGCTCTGGAAATCAGTTATGCCCTGCCAAGGGAGTAGGTTACAGGTTAGGTCACTGTGGAAGTCATGGTTTTCGTGCCTACATATTCCTGGCACATTGGCTGGCTCTTACCACAAGCCATCGCTGTCAATTGCTCTTTAATGTTTGTGCCTCCTCTGGGGTGATGGGATCTTCTGGGCAGGGAATCCCTTTAAGGCTGTTTCTCTGCCTTTCCTCTGGGAGGATTTCGGCGCATGCATTTCAAAGAGCTGTTTGAAGTGTCGCTGCTGCAGACTGGCTCTAGTCTGCCTGGGTCTCCCTAGGCAGAGAGCAGCTTTGTGTTTGGGGGAATTTGTTTTGCATCAGTTTCTTTCTGCTGCAGTGAACACTTCAGGGAGCTGGTTAACAAACAACTCTTTTGAGTGTGCTGTTTACAGATGTGGGCAGAACCCCAGGAGGGAGTTCTAGCAAAAGTACAGGACCTACGTGCCAGGAAAGCGCAGCATCACCCTCACTCATCAGCACCCAGAGGACTGTTGTGCTCCAAAACCATAGTTGGGTGATACCAAGCTCTCAGCTGACCTTAGAGCCACAGTTTGAGGATGGAGATACAGCAGGAGCGATTTAGGGCTCTGACAGCCAAACTCTTATGAATCTTGATGCCCCAATTTAAGGTAAGCCTTAAATTTAAGCCTTGCAGGAGAGGCTGAAGGCAGAGGCACACTCCAGTGCCACAGCCATGCCCACAGTGATGCTCAGCTGTGGCCTGGATGACAGAGAGGATGGCACACTGCCTGCCTGCCTCTCCCATGGGAGCACAGCAGAGGAGGCAGCAATGCTGGAGCATCACATAACTGTGTGCTCTCTGAACGTGAGGCAGAGCTCTTACAAAACCTCACAAGTCACCAGGGATTAACAGAGCTGGTCCAGCCACCAGCTGCAGCATCCCAGGAGCTGATACTCACTGTTGTCATGGCTGAACTGCTGTGGTTACCCGAGGAGCCCCAAGCTACCCACTGAGCAGTGTAGTCACAAAGCAAATTGCAAGGCTGTTGCTCCTGTGTTGCCCCAGCCAGAGCGTAACAGATGTGATTTGGCTGTAGCAAGGTCTTGTGACTGTGTTCCTCTGTGGACTGCTGGGTGGGAAGAGGGGAGAAGGGAACAGGAGAGATTTGGGACTCACACTTTCTACTTCCACTCTGAAATCTGCAGAAACTTACCATCTCTTCTCACTGTGCTGGACTTGGCTGCCCCTTCTGTGAGTCCAAAGTGCATGTAAGGAACACAGGAGTCAGTCACTGGACACAGAGTGCAAGAGCGGGCACATGGACAGGGGTCTGAGAACTGTGTAAGGAGTCAAAGCTGTGACACAGCCCAGCACTGAGGGCTCCACTTTGGTACAAAGCAGAGAGGCAGTAAATTGGGACTGGCAGCCTTTTGACAAGGTAACTGACCCTCCACCCTCCCCTGCAAGCTGCTGGCCAGGGCAATTCCTGGCACTGGTTTGCTTCCTGTCTGTCCACATTCCCTCTTCTCCCTGTCCCTCTCTGTCTTTCATTTGGCTGGGTTTCTCTCCTGTGTTTGTCATACGCAGACTCAATGTTACAGATCCAAACTATGTCCCTCTGCTTCACAGAATCACTAAAATCACATGATTTTACAGCTGGATAGTTATGAATTCCATAAAGGATTATGTGTTTATACTACTTTGTAAATAAAAGACAGTTGACAATGCATGAAAATAATTACTTCTCAGACCTCCTGCTAAGTTGAGTCTTCTTGAGAAGTAAGGCTTTTCATTTTCATTCCCTTTTTTCAGGGAGTCTTTTAAGGTTTCCCTGTCTCATAAAGTGATGCTTTCTGCAACAAAATAATGTGTGAAATCATTAGATTTCGATACTTAGAATAAACCATCAATACTTTGAATCTTTTCAGGGCTTTGGTACAATAATTTAATTCCTGGCAACCAATATTTCCCCACTGCTGATAAGCTAGAAAAATTGTAAATATCTTTGTACCCAGTGACACTGGGGCCAGCCATTAATTAATGCACAATTGCTGGATTATCTGTGCAACACCTTGGTCCGTGCTGTTACATGGGTATTTTCAGTTAGAAGCAGACATTTCTTTTACAGAAGTGAGAGCTGAAGTGTTTGGGGAGCGTTCAGTGCCTCTCTGCTGTGTAAGGCAACTGAAATGTGATCTACAAGATTAGTGGGGCTTGTGGGGAGGGAAGGAACGTGAATTATAGGAAAGCTGCCACAGTGACAGGGCTGAGTGCTGCTGGTTGGATCCAGGGTCGGGATCTCAGCTGCATGGTAGTCACTGGAGAGCAGGGGTCAGACCATGGCCGGACTGGAACTGTCCTCAGCAGTTACTGCAATTAACAGGATTGTTGCTCCAATGTATCCCACTGCGTAGCAGTAAAAACTGTTCTGAAACCACATGCCTAATACCAGGTTTGTATCTGTACCACTGTAGCATTTCTTGGAGAGATCATCAGTAAGGAATCACCTTGAAGAGACTATTATGGCTCTTGCTGCTTGGCACTTTTTACTGAAGATCCCCAGTACTGTGTCCCTGCGGGCTCCCCTGAGAAGATCTCTCCAACTTTGCAGCCGGTGCTACCCAGTTCATGCCTCTTTGAGTTATGAAGCCATAAAACAACAGTACAGACCAGAGGTGCCAGAGTATTTCAACTTTGCAAGAGATGTGCTGGACAGATGGACTGACATGGAAAAGGTAACAGTTACTTGGCTTCTCTGATGCTGAAGTATTTAATGCTGGTCATTAATGCTGAGTTTCTGACAAATCCAATAACCAAGACACAGGGGTTATGTTCTGATTCTAATCTGGTGATCATTTCACACAGTTTGAACCTGTAGATCCCTTAGGCCACCCGCTGTCCTGTCCAGAGTCCAAACAGTTCTTTCCTTTAATCAGGAACTGGAGTGAGTTTGAGTGTAAGTTAATAGGTGCCTCATAAATGAGACTGTGAACTGAACCACTCTAAACCTTGCATCAGTTCCTCCATCAGCCATGACATGCACCGTACCTGGGTGGGTAGGGAAATCACTTGACCTCTCTGTGTTTCATTGTCTGCTTGTAAAAAGAATAATAAATACAGTGTAATGTCAAACCTCATCCACCTATCCCAAATATGAAAATTTTTGTGTCCGAGGACTTGGAATCTACAAAACTGAACAACTTTGAACCCCAAACCAGACATGAGCTCTATGCAAGGAAAGGGAATATAGAAAAAAAACCATGGAGTATGGGTCTATCAAATTTCTTACTACATAGGTCTGGTCTTTATGGATGTAGGAGGCTGGTTTTGCAAGCTCAGGCTGTTCATGATGAGGTGCTAAACGCAGTTATGTCCAGCCTGGCTGCAAGAACAGAGCAGGGGTATCACCTGTCTGACACAATTGTTCCTTTTTCAAGAAAAACAGGTTTTGGCAGGCTGTAAACAGAGCAGGGAATAGCCTCTGGAGAAGAGGTTTTGCCCTTTGAAGTGCACAGATAAAATCTGCTCCCCTGAAAATGAACCTTAGTATTGTACCTTCAACTAGATAATAAGGTGTCATATTCTTGTTGTGCCCAATTTTTTGTTTGGGAGGTGACCTACTACACTGCTACTGCTAAATGCATTGTCCCCTTTTAAAGCACATTGTATACATACATTTCAAATCACTTCACACATCGGTTAGGTGAGGCATTGATGAAAGGTCATACTGCCTGGACCTGTGCTTTTGAAACTTGATTTAATTTTCAGAAGTACCAGACAGGCCCAATTCCAGATGAAGTTGAAAATTAGTTCTGCGGGCTCAGGAGATTCTGGGGCACAACCCAGATGCACCCACATTCATCAGCTGCTTTATGATGTAACCTGAACCTAAAAGATTCTTCTTTCTCTGTGCTGATTACTATAGACCTGTTCAGAGTGTAAGACAAAGAGCTGAGGAACAGAATGCAAACTTAATTTCCTAAATTATATTTACAGGTTGTTCTTTCTAAGGGAGAGTTCTCTGCCTCATTTGGAATCAGTGGCAAATTTCTGTTGCATTTCCAGGTTTCTCCAGCACCGAATAAGTGATGAATGCTTTTCTTCCTCAAACTTAAAGTAAAAGTAAAGGTAAATATGTTTCTAAAATGAAACATTCACACTGTACCCTGTTTTTCTATAGGAAGGAAAAAAGTCTAAAAACCCTGCATTGTGGTGGGTAGATGGTGCTGGAGGAGAAGTGAGGTGGAGCTTTGAGGAGCTGGGAGTGCTCTCCAGAAAGGTGGCGAATGTACTCTCTGATGCCTGCAGCCTGCAACAGGGAGACAGAGTTATTCTGATTCTGCCCCGGATCCCGGAGTGGTGGCTAGTTAATGTGGCTTGCATGAGAACAGGTTAGTAAAAACACAGAAATGCTATATAGGTATAAAAGTTATGACTTAAACCAATCCTTACTACTTAATGCACTCAGAACTACCAGCATGCTAATGAGGATTGAACTAGTGTCATGCTGGTCAAAAACACGCCGAGTTTTTTTCTTCGTGGTGCTTTTAAGACTTTTGTGCATGTTCTGGCTGGTAAGGAAACTCTGTAAGTCCATGTGCCTCTGTCATTCTGTTTCCAGTACTTGGGACACATCACAAATGCACTCTCTTGCTTACTTGCAGTGAAATTAGCCCGCACTTAATGGAGTGTTTCACATGTTCCCCTATGGGATCTGTTAAATGCTCAGCTTCCCAGTATTTACCACCCAGAATTGTCTAGGTGCCTTACAAACATTAGCAGTATACCTTGTGAGGCAATGGCTGTATTTACCAGTAAAGAAATCAAGTCCAGAGAGATTTGTTCCAGGGGCGGTGTTTTCAGAACAAGGGAAGTTATTCTGTTGATTTCTTTTCGTGTCCTGTGATCAACCTAGTATTTGCTAACTTGTCCTCACATAGCATCTAATCCATCAAAGAAATCGGCATATTTACAAATGTAGGGCCAAGTCCTGCTTTTAGTACAGCCCTGGCCCACTCAGAAGAATAAAGGAAGCTGAAGTCTGTTTGTAGGTACAAGTGTTATTCTTAAATGTTGAGTCTGTTTTTCCATTCGCCTTCTTTCCCTTTAGGAACTGTCCTGATTCCTGGCACACAGCAGTTGACAGCGAAGGACATTCTTCATCGACTACAGAAATCCAAGGCAAAGTGTATCATCACTGATGATACTGTGGCACCAGCTGTAGACTCAGTTGGGGCTGAATGCCAGTCTCTGAAATTCAAGTTGCTTGTGTCAGAGGGCCACAGAGAAGGATGGCTGAACTTCAGAGATCTCCTGAAGTGAGTAACCACCGCTGTCACAGTGCCACAGCAATAATGAAAGAAAAACACAATGGTTTGTTTTAAATGGAACATGTTGGCACACAACAATGTATTTTCACCCTTTTTAGTACTGCACAGTTGAAAAATTTCAATGTTTAGAACATTTTTAATTGCTACAGTTATTTTGGTTAATTTTTTTTCAAAAATGGTCTAAGTCAGACTTTCAAATCACTTTATACATCATTTTGCTTATTTTAAGAAATGCTCCTTCTGATCACCAGTGTGTGACCACAAAGTGTCAAGATCCAATGGCCATCTATTTTACCAGTGGAACTGCAGGATCTCCAAAAATGGTTGAACATTCCCACAGCAGCTATGGTATTGGCCTCACAGTAAGTGGAAGGTACAGATATCACTTTAAATCAGACATATTTCTGTAGCTGGTCATATAGCAAAAGGAAGAGAAACACAAATTTTTTACCATAAACTTTTTTTTCAATAGTTTAAAAAACAGCAGTTGTTTTACATCTCAAAGTGGAGAGTTTTTTTCCATAAAACAAGGCAGTTTGAGTCCAGGTGCCTTATTGTATAGAGAATGTAGCAGTCATATAGTCACCAACTTCTTTTTAACATTTTCTTTAACTTTTGAAAATTTTTAATTGTGTATAGTTAATAGATTCCCCATGAACTGAACATCAGCACAAGTTTATCAAGTCTGTACCATAAAAGGGAAAAAAATAAGGGTCTCTTAGGCTTCTGAATGCATATGTGTCTGGATTAGACACAGCTCCTGCAAGAACAAGATGCTGATTGTTCAGAATGTTTAAATTTATAAAGCAATGTTGTTTATAATATAGATATGGTAGTGTGCTTCACTCTAACAGGCAAAGAATCAGAAAATACCAAACTAGAAGTAAGTAAACAAGCAAAAAAAAAATCCTTATCCCTAAAAATGAGTTCAACAAAACCCCAGCAATCTCATACGTATTCATACATCATGTTCTGAGGCGGTGTTAGGTTGTCTATCAGTATAGTTTTTCCCTTAGAAAAATGCAGCATCAGTCAATCCTGATGACATCCTCACTATGCTGTGACTTACTCCTGCTCAGACTCAGACGTTTCTAATTACCATTTACCCAAACAACCAGTGGTAGGTTTGCTCCACTGGCACATCATGTTGATATTTTAGTATTTGCCTTATTCCTGACAAACAGAGGCTGTGGACTGTTTCCTTGTGTTAACAGGTACTGGCTGGACTTGACTTCCTCAGATACGTTTTGGAATACATCAGACACAGGCTGGGCAAAGTCAGCTTGGAGCAGCATTTTTTCATCATGGATTCAAGGGGCCTGTGTATTTGTACATAAGATGCCACACTTCGACCCAAGCATTGTCTTTGAGGTAAGTGAGGAGAGCCCAGCAACAAACAGCACTGTTCTCTCTGGCTCATCTTGCCCAGGTTTTCATTTCCCCTGGTGCTGTACGAGGGCAGCACACAGCACAGTTAAAACTTTCACAGGGCCGTAACCAACCAATGAGTTAAGTAGTGAGTACTGCGAATAGGTATCCCAAAACAAGAAAATATTTGACATCCAAAGTTTCATCATATACTCTGCTCTGGACTTGACTGCACAAACCTGCAAACATCAAAGTGAAGTACACAGGAAATTGTTCTGGCATTTGTGGAGCGTTTTGGTGTTGTTATTAAAATAAGTCACAATAACAGATGAATAAGAATTTCAGTTGCCTGCACCATGTAATTCAAAGTTAAGGAGTGAAGAGGCAGCGAGAGTGAATGTCTTTAACAACAGGCACCAACATTCTCTTACCTCCTCCACACACAACTCTTCATCATTTGAAAAAGACTACCATGTTTTATTTTAAGCAGAATGACTTTATAATCATATCTGTATTAATTAGATGGCTGGAAATTGCTGTTTAATATTAGGATATGTTGAAGAACACTGTCAGTTGTACACCTACAGAGCATCTAAAAGGTAGCCTTATGGTTTCACTTGTTTTCTATTTAAACTGCAATTATGAAGAAATTCTGCATGAGAAACTGTAAAAGTTTCAGGAGCAAAAAAACTTTGGTGTGTTGAACTAATTGTAAAATTATGTAGATTCTGTGTTGAAGAAGAAACTAATTGAATGTAACTGCTCTGTGTTGGTGTTGGCAAGTACAGAGCTAACTGCTTTTAGGACACTTAACGTTTTGTTCGTGGGTTTCATAAGCTGAATGCAGAGATCGTTGCATTACCTCTTACAGTGAAGACAGGACCTCACAGGTTTCAGTATATTGTCAAAATTTACTTTTTTATTCTAAATTCTTTAGTGTCTGTCGAGATTTCCCATAACTGTCTTCTGTTCTCCTCCAACTGCTTATCGAATGTTTGTGCAACATAAACTGTCCAGGTAAGCAAAAGCAGAGTATCCCTGTTGGTTTATTTGATCAAAACAGTAGAGCAAATGCTCATCTCACCTTGATTTTATTCCAGTTTTACAATGGCATAACAGTAACTCAGATCATGTATTTCTCAATGTTTTGAATCTTCAGTATTAGGAACAAAGTCAGAATAAAGATTTAGGGGTAGCTTAATCTTTTTTTTTTCCAGATTTGATTTTGTTTAACACTATACAGTTCAAATGGAATGAATACAATTCAGTAAAAACTTTGTTCTTACATAGAAAGAACCCCACATACAGGACTACAGCAGTGAATGGGGCATAGCAGATAGACCTTTTGCCAATTATTTGTGTTCTCTTTCCCACTAAGCTATACATTCAAAAGCCTGCGGCACTGTGTGAGTGCTGGGGAGCCAATCAACCCTGATGTGATGGAAGAATGGAAAGCGCAGACTGGGCTGGATATTCATGAAGGCTATGGACAGACTGAAACAGTATGTTCTGCTTTACAAATGTAAAAATGTATGCTTTACAGGTACAGCAATCAATTCTCTTCAGGGCACCAAGAAAAAGTTATTAAAATGATTATAAGCAGTTATGAGTTCTAGGGGAAAAGTCAATTGCAGTAAGCAACACTGGAAAAACATAGCTTTTGTACGTCATGGAACAATCATAACAGCTTCACCCAAAATCTAGGGGCTTGGTTTTCATTCCTGTGGGCTTTGGATTGGGGACTAACACAGAAAGGATATGTTACTCATTACGGTATTCCAAATTCTGCTTTAAAATCTATCCTTAGAGCACTGTCATTATTTGGAACTGTGGCCATGATTCTGAGGGCATAGTTTATTTCTAGAAGTTTTATAATTGGATATATGATTATAATGAGGGCAATTAGTATTATAGAAATACACAATATTAGCTGAGTATTTTAAGCCTAAGCTGAAGAATGAATGTACAAGCCACAATTTAATTTTAAAAAAATCCAAACCCAACACCACTTGTTACAGGTGCTGATCTGTGGAAATTTTAAGGGGATGAAAATCAAACCTGGCTCTATGGGAAAGCCATCTCCAGGGTATGATGTCAAGGTATCGTACACCTCTAGTGACTCAATCTCTCTCTTGCATAACCACTTTCCTTTAAAGAGGTTTGAAAGCTCTAACATGGAATTGTACCACATGCCATCATTCAGCAGTAAATGAAAGAGTGAAGAAAGGGACGTTACTGCCCTAAACTGAGCATCTAAAATAGGCAATTGGACTTCCCTGTTGCACTGTCCTCAACAACATAGGTGACAACCCACGACTAACTGCCAGTTAGATATCAAACATTAAGGCAATGATAGAAATTAAATTGTTAAGTTAAGGAAGTGTGGGAGTGAATGTTGTTTCCTGGTGATAACAAAACTGTTGAAGAATCGAGCACCAGATCAATTTGCAATATAGGTTAGAATTTTTAGTGTCTTTCCTTCAGTTCTTCAGTTTTCCCACTCTGTTGCTTATGATCCTCTCCGGGGTCTTACTAACTTAATTACATGCTTGCTTTATAATTTATCTTCAAGATAATAAAACTGTGTTTTGTTTATTTTTAGATTATAGATGAAAACGGTAATATTCTGCCTCCTGGAAAAGAAGGAGATATTGCCATCAGAGTAAAACCTACGAGATCGCTTTTTCTTTTTACTTGCTATGCTGTAAGAACATTTCTACAGTTAAAATAGATATCCTGTTAAATCTCTGTCACCAGGAATCTGATGACCCATTTCATTTACATAGACTCTGAAAATCTGTGGGGAGGAAAGAGGGATTTCCATTTTTTTCCTGCAGATGCTTTGTCTTACACAATTAAGTGTTGCATGAGATTGTCCTACCTAGCAAGTTAAAATCCACTTTCTTTTGGTTGTTATTTCCTTAATATAAAGGGAAATGTTTGACAGACACCCTAATCCCAAAATACTCTTTGACCTAAGGACTAGAGCCCCCATCAGAGAAGTCAAACACCGTTCAGACCCCTTCCATCCAGAATTGAGCTTCATGGAGTGTTTCATGCACAGCAAAATTTTTCAGTTTTTTTCCACATTAGTTAGAATTTTCAGTCCAACAACCAGTAGAATAAAAGCACAGCTTTCAATTCTGACACCTGGAAACCTTACTGAATTTTATGGATAATATCAGCGTATAATCAGGCCTTCTGAGCAGGTCTGAGCATGCAAGAAAGGAACAGCATGCATACTGTGCATGCTGCCTAGAAAAATTCCTGCAGAAATCAGTTGCATTTGCCTTAGAAAGAGCACTTATTAATTGTGCTGTGCTGAGCCAAACTTTTCTGGGAGTAAAAAAAAATAATCTCAGGATAGGAGATGCTAGAAATACAAAGAAAAAATTATTAAAAGATAATCACCTGATAGCAAATTCTCAGTTCTGTAAGGCTCTATATTTCTGCAACCTTCAGTGGTTCCTAAAGCCATGGAGCATAATACAGTATGGTTAAAAGTTTAAGTCAGTCACATTTATTGCAATTTATTAATTTTGTAATAGTGAATTAATAATTCTCTATTATTAGTGTCTCACCTGAATCTGATGCACATCACCACAGTATGGACCAGTCTGAGAAGCTGAAATTTTTGAATAGTTGCCTGTACCATAACTTAGATCCTAAGTATGTTAGAATGCAATTTCATGTATTTTTCAGGTAGTTCTCATGTAAAATGCAATTTCATATTTCCTAGGAAGATCCAGAGAAAACAGAGGCAACAATACGTGGTGACTTTTATGTCACTGGAGACCGGGGGTTTATGGATGAGGATGGATACTTCTGGTTTGTTGGAAGAGCTGATGATGTCATTAATTCTGCTGGGTAATTTAAGACTGATAAACAATAAATCATTAAATTTGAATAACACAGATGATTCATATGTGATGTTAAGCTTATGTGTTATCTAATACAACTAAAAGCCCTTTCCTCTATTTTAAAGATACCGTATTGGACCATTTGAAGTAGAAAGTGCCCTGGTAGAGCATCCTGCAGTGGTGGAATCAGCAGTTGTCAGCAGTCCAGACCCCATCAGAGGAGAGGTAAACAAGTTAAACAAGCTTATACATTTAAGTAGCTTTCTGCATACCAGAGCTAATAAAGCCCAACTTCCAGTGGATATGTCTAGCCAGGGATTTATTTTTTTTTTCCTTTTTAAAATTAAAACTAAATAAATTTGAGTCACCATTTTTACTCTATTAGACACTGCAGAATCCACACAGGAAAAAACTGACCAAGGCAATTGCCTCAAATCCAATGTAACGAAATCACCATTTGAAGCTTTCCCTGTCATTCAAATACTACAATTTTTAATCTATTAAATGTATATAAACTGCCTGCACGGTCCAGACCAATAGTGAGCACCCACAGACTTTGGCAAAGCTTTCTGTACCTGCCCTGTACATTACTCTGCAGTTTGTCAGCAAACATTTGGTTAATGTTTCAGATTTTACTGTTGTGCAATACTGTTTCATTGGCAGTTAAACCATTTGCTGATGTAACTTCTTTAGGTAGTGAAAGCCTTTGTTGTTTTAACATCTGACTATGCTTCACATGATCCCGAAAAAATGGTGAAAGAGCTACAAGACCATGTTAAGAAAGTTACTGCTCCATACAAGTATCCTAGGAAGGTGAGTGCTCAAATGCCCAAATAATTTTCAGTACCATAAGACAGTGGGCATTAACTGTTCTGTGGCTTACAGGCCTATGCTGCTGAGGGTAAGAAAAAGTAAAAATTTAGGTAAACTATCTTATTTTGTATTACAATTTCCTCCATTTCCCAATAGATGGAGTTCGTTCAACAGCTGCCAAAAACTGTTAGTGGGAAGATCAGAAGAAATGAACTGCGCCAGAAGGAGTGGAGAAAAGATTAGAAGTACTTGTTGCTTTTCTATAGGATTTTTACAAAGTAAGATTTTGCAGATTTACACAGTAACATAGAGTAAAAGACATTACACTGTGTGCTTCACAGTTTAGGTTTGAATAATTCTTACCCAGTTCCCAGCATTTGGCTGTCCCAGGTGCTACACTAATAGCACAAAAGCAGTCAGGCTGATACAAATGAAATGGGAAGATCACGTAGTCAAGAGCACAATAGGTGATGTGTATTAAACAAAGTATTTAATGAAGTGTCACCAGCAATTTATCTTCATTTTTATTTCATTTAAAGGATTAAAAAGAAAAAAAAAAACAGTAAGAGTTTAAAAGGACACAAAAGAATCACGTTTGAGAAGTGCAACAACTTCTAAATAATTTTTTAAAAGTCGTAATCATTACGAGTATATTTAGAAAAAAGCATAAATAAAATGTGTAATATTAAAATATTCTTTAAGGACTGGACTAGTAAAGAATTTAAAATACATGATAAAGCAGAAATTTAAGATTTATAGCAACAGCTGCTCATACTTTAATTTTAGCACTTAAGTTTTATCTGTTCTCTCACACTTCATTAATGAGATACTTTATGATATATTGACATTTTTGTATGCTTGAGCAATTTCCATTTCTATGTTAACCAAGCAGTGTCATTTTTGTCCCATTCTCAGCACACGTATCTGACATCATTTGACTGTCCCGATTATATTAAACATAATGAACTTACTGTTTAGGATTCAAACAAAAATTTATCAGTTTTCAAGTCCTCATAGAGGGTCTAAGACACAAATATTTTTTGTTGGAAGGATTTCCTAGATTACCTGCATAAGTTCCAAGAGAGTTCGAAGCATCTGCATTCAGGGTGAGACCATTAGATTTCTCTTTCAGAAGCGTGTATTCCCACTTGAAGTATCCACAACCTTTCTTCCTACCTTCGTGTTTGCCAACAGGACAACAAAAAAATGCTTTGCCATTATTTGGACCAGGATTTGACACGTACAGTTTTTTAGCTCTTCGACCACAGTTACATAGCGGGGGAGTCTGTTTTCCATTTTTCACAGCTCTTACAGGCTGATTCAAATTGACTGTGGAGTTCAGAATGGCAGGAGACGCTTTTGGCAAGTTTGAATTTCTTAAAGGTAAGGAACGATCAAAAGGTGCAGTTTTCTCTTGATATATAGCAAAAGACTGTTTTTTTGCTGGTGGGAATGTTTTTGGACTAGTTGGTTTTCTTTTAGGAACCTCTGAAGGAGTAACATAATTTCCAGTTAATGCTGATTGGGCTGAAATAGCATTTACCTTTGCAGATGGTAACTTAAAAGCTGCAAAATCTGAAGTCTGCCTTTGTACTGTTCCTACATTATAGACAGTAGTATCGGGACTTCTGTAAACAATAGATTCCAGAGGTTCCACAGGTACTGTGGTTTTCTCCAAACTTTGATTATCTGAACTCATCACAGCCGATTGTTTCAGAATTGTCTTATCTTCAGACACTGTTAAAATATCTGTACTTGAGTCATCTTTGAATTGAACAGAGTCTGAATTTTGTTCATATTGAGATTCTGGTATTAAAGCGACATCTTCCCAGTCGGTCAGCAGAGCTAAGCAATCAGAACTGGTACTGATATCTTCATTGGAGATATTAACTGAGGGGATGGTAGTGGAGACGAGCACTAGTCCTGATCCCTGTACTGCAGGGCTGTGCCTGGCTGTACTCAGAGGTTGCCCGTTGTTCAATCCTTGCCGAAAGCCTGTTGACACAGTCCTGTGAGATTGCTGTGCCTGCTCAAGAGGAACAGGAAATCTGTCAGTGGATGCTGTTAAAGAGCTTTGGGCTTGAGCATGTAACTCAGTCCTTGAGCTGCTGCTAGGTGTAACATTGACATCTGCAGAGGAATCAGTGCAAGTGGTTTGTTGTTCTTCTGTTTGTACATTAAAATTTATCTCAATTCCAGCAATACTGTTGTGGTTTTTCTCAGCCAGGGAGTTTGTTTCACAAGTTCCATCTCTAGATGTTTCAGGTTTGCTGTTACTTCCCAGTGGAGTCTTGTCAGTGAAGTTTATAGTCGGTCTTCTGGAAATTAAATTACTCTTCAGCTGTGCCTAGGGAGTCCGTAAACAAAAGGGGATTTTAGAAAGTGAATACCCAGAAGTTTTAGGAATCGATGCACAAAATTAATAAGTGTATCAGCCCAGGGATGTTCTGTTCAGTTCATAGTCAAGATCCCGGGTTTGTTATTTTAATAGCTCACCTTTCATCTGTATTCCAGGCTACAGAGCAAGTAGAAGGGAAGATATGAAGTAGTTACTAACCTTATCCAAAGATTTAGTAACCTTCAGCACACATCCATCACAAATCAGCCTCCAGGCCAGACGGGCAGTATTCCGAGAATCATCCAACCCTTCAAAAGTATGGTTATATTAATGTCTTCTTTTTAAACTACTACTGGAGATAGTTCTTATTAGAGGGAAAATGTAATCTAGGTAAGCCTTACAGAACTGACAGGGATTCATAGAACTCTGACATATTGTTATCTAGTTCAAAAAAGTAAAGTAAAAAATTCCAAAAAAATTCCTTGTGCTGAAACATCTGAAGGAGCAATCCATAGAGCTGAGTATGTATCCACAATTTTTAAAAACTTTGCTCCATTTTATTAACCATGTAAAAAAAAGTAATCCTATTGTGCTGGTATTCTCTTACACTAATAGGCTATCCAGAGCTGTCAGGTAAAATCAAGTTTCCTTATCCTTCCTCCACCTCTTTTCTTTTGCACCCTAGCAATTCAGAGATTGATCTTGTTGAACATGCACTCAACAGCACTAGGAGAGATTTCAGAAATAAAGCGTGAGGTTAGAAATAAACTCTGCTCTTTGAAGCATCTAGGCTTTCTTCTTTTGATGTTTTTGTTGGACAGAACATTGCCTAACCTGGAAACAATAGTTACTGTTTAGAGTAATGACTAGCTATTACTAGCTGCTTCTGTTTAGCTAAATAAACTAAGTTAAAATAGTAGCTATTTAGCTTCATTAAAAATATATATATTAAAAAGAGGATCGTCATACCACACTTACCAGAATGTTCCCGCCCTGCAAAAGCTATCCCCAAATCCTGCAAAGCACCACTTAGCCCTTTAGGCTTCCTATTGTAGAAGGCCTAGGGGAAAAACATAAGTGTTTAACATAAAGCATTTCAAAACCTCTTCATAGTGAGGAGAAAACCATTTCAGAAATACCACCTTATGAATAATCAATCTCACAAGGCAATTGTATAAGTCAGGTATCTTCATTTTACAGTTGGGATAAATAAGCTTAAGACCATTAAGTGACTTACTCTGTGATAAATTAGAATTGAAAGAACATGAATCCCTCCCTCTGTCTGAAACTAACCCATTCTTAGCTCTGGAGTCATCCACGTGCACTTTATGGCTGACACTGATGAAGGCCTTAACAGAGCAGCACTGAAGAATGAAACTATAAATAACATCTCGAGATGTTTAAACTGTTGCATGTTGCAAAGGCATGGGCATTAATGTATTTGGCATAGGTATAAATTTTTCTTAAAGGAGAAAAAGTGAGTATTGCTACCCACTCCCAGTATTTCATTTGGTCACAAGAAAGGGAGAATATTCACACTGTTTATACTTTTAGAAACCTAATTCTGGTATTTAGGTTAGGGACCTAAGCTTCAAGTGTCAGGATAAGTAGACTTCTGGCTCACCCTTTGGCAGTTTCCTTGACTACACAGGGGAAGGTACACTCAGGTGCTGTTAGCCCCCAAGTTAGAACTCTGTTGCAGTGTAGACTGTGTCATAAAATATACATTCATTTTTTCAGTAGTGTTCATTGCTGTTCAGAATATACTTTCTGGACCAAGTACAGTTCACGTGCTGGACCTTTCAGTACCTCTAAGCAGATGGTGATGGCCATTTTCTACACAGCAATGTAAAGCAGCAATGAGAGCACACAAAACCAGGGAAGCAAGCAGAGCAAAAGATGTCAGGAAAAGAAAGGCAGCTCAAAAAATGCTCCTAGGGTTATCATTCATTTATTGGAAATAACACCAGGTTGTTTTCCTAGCATTAAGATTTGTATTAAAATTCACACAGTTCTAGGGCATGCAATTTGTTATTGAGAAGTAACAACATGGAAAGAAAACAAATGGGTTACTCTAGTCACTGGAACAAATGAGTTACAAATGGGTTAGTCTAGTCACTGGAACATACAGTATTGGCTTGTAACCTCAGATACAGTTGGCCTTTGAGATGATAATATGGGTATAAATGTTTCACAGTCTATCAGTCTTCTCACCTTGTATGTTGCTTTGAGATCAATCCAGGAATTTAAAATGTCAGGCTTTCGCAGCTGCTTCCTTTTACACTCGTACTGCAGACACACACCCAGGTCCCAGTCTGCACAGAAAAAACCCACAAACAATCTATCACTAAAGAATTGGCCCAAAATCTACATAAACATGGCTTAAAATCTACATAGAGGGACAGACCATCAACATAATAGTAGCATCCTGTACTCCTGGACAGGAAACTTAGGCTAACAGGCTTTGAGCTAATAATGTCTTTGTACATAAAAAGCGCTTGGGTTGCTGTAATGGGACATCAGGGTAAGGGAAACCCTGTGATGGGTCAATCATTAAATCGTTTAGACACACTAAGACTGGTGACTGCACCTCACTATGTGTAAAGCAGAGAATGTAACAATGTCAGAACCTGGAGATGAAGATGTGAACACATCAGGATTCAATGGATTTCATATTTTTTTATTCCAATATTGGACATCTTTAATGCCTAGTAACAGGATTTTGGCTCCCTAGAAGTGAGGACGCAATCTCACTAGCACCACCGAATGTTCATTTTTTAATGTGTATTATTGCTTAGAAAAATAAAAGCAAATGAAAATTATATTTACCTGTCCAAGTGACAAAGGTACATGGTTTTGTCTCTGAAGTAGAATGACTTGGAATATCTGAACTGAATATAATTTT